AATAGAGATCCATAAAGTTTAGGGGGGGTAGTGTGTAACTGTATGTTGCTTGAGAAGCCTTCATGGAATGTGTTATTTATTTATTTATTTGTAATTTCAATTATAAATTTCAGTTCCCTTAATTCACAGGGCACATGGGCTTGTTGACAACAACAACAACAACAATAATAAAATCCAAAATAAGTTATGAGTTTAAAAATAACCTCAGATGGCATCAGAATAAATACAATAGGCATAAGTGATTCACAGCAGTAAGAAAAGGCAGGGTGGGGGAAAGGAAGGGAGTGCTGGATAAGGCACTATTTTTGTCATCCCTAAGGGCTTCATATTTTTAGCTCTCTGGCATCCCATCCGGAGCCTTCTCTGAACACTTCATGCAGGGAAAGGTTTTTGCCTGAGCTCTGCTAGGATCCCTCTCACTGTGGCTCTTGCACAGTAATACACAGCCGTGTCCTCTGCTTTCAGGCTGTTCGTTTGTAGGTAGAAGTTGGAGCTGTCCATGGAGGCTGTGAATCGCCCTTGGATGGCAGAGGAATAATATTTACTACCAGAGGTATAGTAGTGAACCAACCCTTCTAATTCTTTCCCGGGCTTCTGCCGGAACCAGTCCATCCAGTAGCTGTTAGGATTAAACCCAGTGACTGCACAGGTCAATTTATGTGATTCTCCTGGTTTTTTCACCACAGGATCTGATTGGGTCAGAACCACCTGTGAGAGGACACCTGGTGGGGAAAGAAAAACGAGAAATGTTTCAGATAGGATTAGCAGCAGGCTCTGGTTATTGGAGGAAGCTCGAATATAATGAAGGGAGGAATTATAAACTAAAAAGCCCAACATACATGGAAAGACAGCCAAGAAAACAAGTGTGGGGAACACGGACGGCATAGTGGGAAAAACGGAGGAGATCTCAACCGGACTCTCTCTCGAGGCAGGAAGTCTGAGTGACATTAAGCGCCTTTGAGGGTTTAAATCGGAAGCGGGATTGTGCTTGTTTTTGCATAAATCACATGCAAAAAAGGAGAGGGCAGTATTTATGTGGGATCACAACCATTCAGAATCTGAAATGGCAGCATTTATGAAGGAGGGACAAAAATTTGACCGTGACGTGAGACTGGATTTAGGTTGGAGTCATATGGACAGATGTGATCTGCTTTGCCCCTGCCCTTCCCAGGGTCATATGATTTGAACTGCGTCTGTGGGAGGGGTTGGAGTGGGGTTGCCCACCTCCTAGGAAGCAGTCCCGACAATCGCTGGCTGGAAGTGGGCAGGGGAGCACTTTCTAACAAAAGATTCTTGAGAGCCAGTTTGGTGTAGGAGCACAGACTCTAATCTGGGAGGACCAGGTTTGATTCCCCACTCCTCCACATGCAGCTGCTGGTGTGACCTTGGGTCAGTCATAAGTTCTTTCAGAACTGTTCTCTCAAGGGCAATTCTCGAGAGAGCTCTCTCAGCTCCACCTAGTCCACAGCAAAACGTTGTGGGGAAAAAGAGGGAAAGGGATTGTAAGCCGCTTTAAGACTCCTTTGGGTAGTGAAGGGCAGGGTATAAAGCCAATCTCTTCTCTTCTTCTTCTTACACCCATGTGACATGACTCTCGGGACTAGGGATATTACAAAGTGCTTTCAGATCCAGTGCTAGCAATAATACTCAGTAAAAATGGAGACTCCTGTGACTTTATAGAGCAAAGTGAGATTCTCTCTGGGTCTCACCATTCCCGGGCTTGTGGCTGACCCAAGGCCACATCAGCAGGTGCAAGTGGAGGAGTGGGGAATCAAACCCGGTTCTCCCAGATTAGAGTCTGCACACTTAACCACTACACCAAATTGTAAGCCGCTCTAAGACTCCTTTGGGTAGTGAAGGGCAGGGTATAAAGCCAATCTCTTCTCTTCTTCTTCTTACACCCATGTGACATGACTCTCGGGACTAGGGATATTACAAAGTGCTTTCAGATCCAGTGCTAGCAATAATACTCAGTAAAAATGGAGACTCCTGTGACTTTATAGAGCAAAGTGAGATTCTCTCTGGGTCTCACCATTCCCGGTCTAGACGATGTCAACTGAATGCCGTTTAATTCTTGCGCCAACAATTACTTTGTCTTCTGGCAAATAGATTTTGTAGTTTGGCAATCTGATGCACTGAGAGGGTTTGGGGAATTCCTGAATATGTGGAGATGATGTGTGCCGGAGAGTGGAGTTTGAGGAGGGGAGAAGTTATATGGTAGTACTGGCTGATGTCCAAAGAGAGTGCCATTTTATGTATTTATTCCATGTAGCCCACCTTTCTCACTGAGATTCAAATCAGATTATACAGTGTTAACTGACAACATTCCATATGAAGAGACTGCTCTTAAGCACACAGTGTATACAATGGTCCTTTCTCCATTTTCCTGCTACTCTGAATCTTCTCAGTGTTCGAGTTGAGGCAATTTAAGTCCACAGCAAAACAGCATCCAAATAACCCAGGGTAACACCAGGGTGAAACCAGGCTGACTTCTGAAGGGAGCTAATGTAATGCAGAATGGGGGAAAAACCTGGAATAAAAAGAAGGTTGAATTTAATTTCAGTGCAGAATGGGGGGGATGGGGGACCCTAGACTAAAAAGGTTGAATTTGATTTTAGTGCAGAGTTGCTTGGAGGAGACTGCGGTGAACATGGATTAAAAGGAGAGGGCAGGAAGGGCCAATGACTATGAGGAGACATCTAACAATAATGGTGTTAAGAAGACTGAAAACTGAATGGATACAGCATATTGGACATGATAGAAAATATGGATATAATTAAGACAAATGGTATTACGTCAGGCTGCGGAAGGTCGGTAGTTCAGCAGTTCGAGACCCGGGTGCTGCATGACGTCCAATTACTATGAGGAGACATGTAACAATAATGATGTTAAGAAGACTGAAAACTGAATGGAAACAGCATATTGGACATGCTAGAAAATATGGATATAATTAAGACAAATGGTATTGCATCAATAGAAAACAATGAAGTGACAAAAAGTTCAGACAGCACGGACCTCCAATAAACAAGACACTAGGAGAAGAAACAGTCATGCTTATAGTTCAACTGATGGAAAAGCAGCAGCCCCCAAATGTCCATTGCTATTTCAGCCCCCAAATGTCCATTTCAACTTCCTGTGGTTAGTTTTGACCATAAACAGGAAACTGACACCAGGAAATATATAGATTTGCAACAGTAGGAGAAGAAACAGTCATGCTTATACTTCAACTAATGGAAAAGCAGCAGCCCAAGGCAAGAAGAAGGTAGGTTGCGGGAGGGTTTTGAATTTCTTATCTTTGCTATTTCAGTCCCCAAATGTCCATTTCAACTTCCCGTAGTTAGTTTTGACCATAAACAGGAAACTGACACCAGGAAATATATAGATTTGCCCACACTATTTAGGCAGTAATAAAACATATGTTTTAAATATATATTTGATGGTGTATACAATTTGTGTAGAAATATAAAGCCATACAAATCTATACAAGTCTACGAATGAAAAACAGAGAGCCCAGACCACTGAAAGAAATATGAATCGTTATGAAGAAGAAACAAAATGGTGGTGGTGGTTTGGGCATGTGAGTGTCAGGAGAGGCCCATAATGTGTTGGGAGGCTATGTGTAACTGTGTACTGCTTGAGAAATCTTCATGGAATATGTAATTTGTTTCTATTCAGGCTATTTTATTATCCCGGAGGACTTCATATTTTGTCTCTCTAGCACCCCATCTGGAGGCTTCTCTGAAAAGTTCATGCAGAGAAGGGTTTTTGCCTGGGTTCTGCCAGGGTCCCTACACTGTGTGCCTTGCACAATAATACATGGCTGTGTGCTCAACTTTCAGGTTGTTCATTTGCAGGTAGAAAGTGGCGCTGTCCTTGGAGGCTGTGAATTGTCCTTGGATCACAGGGGAATAAGCATTGTTGTAGAAGTATCGGAGTGAACGAGCCATTCCAATCCTTTGCCAGGCTTCTGCCAGATCCATTCCATCCAGTAGCTTTTAGGATTAAACCCAGTGAGTCCACAGATCAATTTATGGGATTCTGCTGGATTTTTCATGACAGGCTCTGACTGGGTCAGAACCACCTGTGAGAGGATACCTGGTAGGAAAGGGGGAAAAAGAATAGTTGACGGAGGAGTACCTGTAGCTCAGCTCACTGGTTATCATGTGGAACCCAAATATAGTGACGGAAGGATCTGAAGTCTAAATGCCCAACATACACAGGGAGACCACCAACAAAATGAGTACTGGCAACATAGAGGACATAGCGAAAAGATGGAGGAGATCTCAACTGAACTCTGTCTCCTGAGATACGAAGTCTGGTTGAGATGCAGAGACTTTGAGGGTTTAAATCACAAGCAACATTGTACTTCTCTTTGCATAAACCACAGATATAAAAGGAGGGGACAGTATTCATGTGGGATCACAATCCTTCAGAATCTGAGGTAGCAGCACTGATGAAGATGGAGGGATAACTATTTCCCTTTGAAGTGAGACTTTCTTGCTTGAAATCATCTTGAGTGATGGTCTGTTTTTTTTAAAGGGGATTCTATTACATCTCAATAGCTTTTATGCTGTTGTTTTTATCCATATTGAGTCTCAGTGAGAAAGATGGGCCATTAAATAAATAAATTACTGTTTTAATACATGGATGACAGTGGATTCACTGTTACCGTATTGGTTGTATTGCCTTAGATAATTGCATGTGTTCGATTCCTTCACTCTCTCACTCACTCACTCACTCTTTCTTTGAAAGTGTGAACCAGACCCAAGGTTGAAGTGACAAAAATACAATCCAGGAAATGAAAACAGACCAAAAATTCAGGTTCCACACACATTCTCCATATATTAAACTCCTGCTATTAACCAGCACTTGTATTTGGGCCCACTGTTACTGGGCATTGTTGTGGACACTGGTGCATGGATTTCTTTAGAGCATAGAGCCAGCAGCAAGGAGTCTTCCTCTTTTATGTAGTGTTTCTTCCTTGCTTTGCTTCACTGTGGTTATCGGGCACAATAATATCTGGCTGTGTCTGCAGCTGTCACGGAGGTCAGCTGGAGGTAGTATTCGTTTTTGGCAGCATCAGCAGAGATGGAGAGTTGGAGAGATGGGGCATAGCGCCTGCGCCACCCACTAGGAGACATGTCTATTTCTGCCACCCATTCAGGTCCTTTCCCAGGAGCCTGTCGGATCCAAGCCCAGTACACATTTGTATTCGTGACAAGGTCCCCGGTGATAGCACAGGTTAGTCTGATGGATTCTCCAGGTTTCACAAATGCTGGTCCAGATTCCCTGAGCTGAACATCGCAGTGGACATCTAAGGCAAAGGACAAACATTTATTAATAAAAGGTTTCTCCTTCTTACAGTTTATTCTTTGCATTTACCTGGAATACACTTACATAAGAGAGATGCTAAGAAGAAAAATAAGGCAAAGGGAAACATCATGGTATGAAGGAGGAATTCCACTGTAAGGGCTAGTTTGGATCTGCAACAGACCTGAAAATGTGATTTTCATGCAGCAAGAGCATGGTGGCTATTTAAATGGGGAACTACTTGGGCAAGGACTTTGCATGTGATTTCCATCCAGTTGTAGATAGAATTTAAATGAGAGGGAGTTTTGTGTCTTCTTCAACTAGTTACAAAGAAACTGTAAAAGGTCTGTGATTGGATCTCTCACTTTTTAGGGAAAATCCTAGTAAACTTGGGAATGTGGCACTTGAAGAAGTGATGTTTAACCTGTTGCTCTGCAAGGTGCTGTTTGGGCTCTCATAGACATAAAGCCTATAAGTGATAAAAATGGACTATGCTTGTTGATGTGCAAAAGGGACTGAGATGTAAGGTGACCAGATTGTGCTGACAGCTGTACACACAAACCAGCAGACACTGAGATGATGTGCCAGTGGTTCCCGAGGCCACCCCACTCCAAGATGTATCCCTAGCCACATGAGGCACCCAGAACAGCCATTCACCATTGTGGTTTAAACAGATGCTCCCTGATGCCATTGGGAAGTTTTCTCTACAATGCAGGAAAACCCCCCCCCCCCCCACAATCTCCGCAGCGAAGGCACAAAAGACTCTTTTCCTGCCTTCCACTCACAAAGGACTTGGCCTTCCTAATCCTCTCGAGGAAACAGTTTTACTTGACCTGGCTGAGGAAATGGACTTTCACAACAATAGGTGATAGACGATGAGTCATCCCAATCCTCGAGGTGTCTCTGTCACAGATTTAGAGTTTAATATTGACCAACCCTTTAAGCCCCCATGCCCATTGCGGATGTGACTTTTCAAACAGACCACAAGGGGTTGTCTCAAGGGAGGTGGCCAGCAAAGTCCTCCCCCCAGAGTCCCCTTACAAAAGTGGGCACCCAGCAACGTGCTTGCTCTCTCCAGATCTCTCCAGGCTTTCTAGATCTCTCTAGGTTCTCTAGATCTCTTAGCTCTCTAACTCTTCCTATCCTGAAACCCATGATGTCTCTAGAGACTCTTGGACAGCAGCCAGAGTCCCACATGTTTCTGCCAGTTCAGAACACAATCCCTATTTTCTATTAGTTTCCCCTATCTTTCCTTTGGGACATGCCATCTCGCTGAGGACAGGTAAATATTGCCCCTCAATGAAACATCCTGCTCATTCGAATGTCTCTTGATTTTCTAATTCCCAAGAAGCTGTGTAACTGTGTGTGTTTTGTTTGCTTGTGAAGAATCTACAGTAAAGGAATCATTTTATATTGACACCAGCCTCCGTGTCTATTTCTGGTGTTTCTGGAAGAAGCGGGACCCCTGTATATAGAGGTGTTAGTTCCCTTATTGCCTATTGCTATTTTACAACATCTCATATTCCCTAATATTGATAATAATTCAGAGCAATCAGGCTAACAAACCCTTTCCCTTTGTGGTCTCCTAATGGAAAACTGCTATGTATCCCATCCGTATTGTGTATGATGGACCAGACTAGACTGATCTCACCAAGTCTTGGAAACGAAGCAGGGCTGGCCCTCTTTTGTATTTGGATAGGAGACCATCAAAGAAGCCCAGGTTTGTTAGGGAGAGACAGACAATGGCAAACCACCTCTGAACTTCTTTTGTCTTGAAAACTTTTCAGGGTTGCCATTAGTCAGTTGGGACTTGAGGACACTTTCCACAACACACACACACACACAAAGATAGTTGTGAGACATTTTGATACCCCATTTGACAACATTGCTTAACAATCGTCCTTTCCATACTTGGATCTTATCCTTGGTTTTATCAGAGTTCAACTCGCGACACAATACCTTGCATTTATCCCTGGTTATAACAGCATCTGTTTATACCAGGACAATTGTGGGGCGAAACTGGGGTGATCTCAATGTAATGTGGAAACAAAAGATACCCTGAGATAAGTACAGGGGGGAACTCGAGTGTAGTGTAGAATGTAGAAACACCCCGAGAAAATTACAGGGGTGAACTTGTGTGTAGTATAGAATATAAATTCAGGGACAGGGTTGAACCAGGATTTATGGTCTAGTGCAGAAAGGACCATTATCCGACTAGGGGGCAGTATTCCAGACACTTGGCAATAAATTCTGAGTTCAAAAGCTGGAATATGTGTGCAATTGATCTATTCCAAGTCCTTCCCAGTAGCTTTTGCTACCCAGTGCATTGGGTGGTAGCTGAAGGTCAATCTAGAGGCAGATCCTATAGGCTAGCCTATAGGAGATACAAGGCCCAGCCCTGCCCTCACAGGCCTCATGTTACACTCTGAATCGGGATAGTGGCAAACATAGCTCCATTCCTATTAGTATCACTGCAGGCAGCAGGCCTGTAAGCAAGCACCCAGGTCTGGTATCCTGGCCTCTATAAGTATTCTTAGGATGAGGCCCCCGAAACAACACTTGGAACAGGTGAGGCTTCTTCCTTCTAGAACTATTTCAGCCTCTGTCTTATCCAGGAAGCCTTGTTGATGCAGTCGCTTCATGCCAACCAACTCGTGTGACCTCTGCTTGTTCTTATGAATCAGCAAACATGACCCAGAACAGATTGGGGGTGGATAACTGGGGGTGGGAAGGGCTGCAGTGGTTAAGATGCTGAACTGCAGACCGGAAGGTCAGTAGTTCGGCAGTTCAAGACCCGAGTGCCGCATGACGGAGTGAGCTCCCATCTCTGGCCCCAGCTCCTGCCAACCTAGCAGTTTGAAAGCAAGTAATTGCAAGTCGATAAAAGGCACCACTTCAGTGGGAAGGTAACAGTTTTCTGCATACCTCAGCATCTAGTCACGCTAGCCACATGACCACAGAAACGTCTTTGGAAAGCACTGGCTCTTCGGCTTGGAAACGGAGATGAGTCACGCATCCTTAGAATCGGATTCGACTGTTGTAATGTGATCTGTCAGCAGGGAGACTGCTGGAAACCTGTCCTGGCCGGTTTGGACCAGATTATGGTATGAGGCCAGTGACAATGACTCAGCTCTAAGCTGATTGGCTACAATAATGTATATATGTGGACAAGTGCAGTCCAGTTTTTTTCTTCTCTAAATGACGGTGACTGGCAGAGCATTTTGTCCGAGGATTGTATATTCTGTAAATAAAATCTGTATATAGTTTTACCACAGGACTGTCTTGTGTGGTGCTATACAGAACTGGAGTTGCAGTTGAGTGCTGGAGTGTGGCTGGTGAGCTGGAGTGGCTGAAATAGTCCTGGTGGCTGGCTGATATCTTCTACTGGCACTCAGGCTGTCCTACGCGCACCGCGCAACATCGACTGGCTTTCGAGCAAGGGAAACCTTTACCTTTAACAGGGAGTGGGGAGTTCTGGTACAGAAAAGTGTAGTGTGGCAGTTTGTTGCAAGCTCCCAGCTGTCCAGGGACCTAGGTGCCTCCTGATCCTTGCTCCTGAGGATGCTGCTTTAGAATCCTCCCGCTCTAGAGCAGAATAAGGAAGCCCAGGATTAAACCATGGAGGGATTACAAATGTGAGACTGGCTTTCTCGGCTGTAATTACCTGGAGGGATTTTCTTTGTGGACTCATTTCCTCCAAGCCCTTGTTCACCCCAGGGGTCCTGGGAGTGTGTGGAGGTGGCAGTTGCTCACCCTCTAGAAGGCAGTCCCAAAAATCAGGGGAGAGAAAAGGGGTGGATCAGGATTGATTTGGAAAGTACTGGATTGTGAGCAATGCTCCCTCTAAACTGTGGAGTCTTGTGAACAAAAAATCCTACTTTGTGAGCTGCTGGCATGAAAGTTGTGAGTGAGCGATTTGGCTACTGCATACATTAGTTTGCTCTGGAGACACCCTTCCTGAGCTGAGACAAAAATGTGTGAGCCAGAGGCTAAAGAACTGTGAGCTAGCTCACACTAACTCGGCTTAAAGGGAACACGGATCGTGATTACTTTCCCTAAGGCAAGGTCCAGTTCTGGTGCTGACAATGAGATTAACCAAGAGTAAAAATACACTCCAGCCAATGAAAACTGAACGTAACATTACATTATTCAAACTTTCAGATTCCACAAACATTCTCCATATATAAAACTCATGCTTGTATTTGGGCCCACTGTTACTGGGCATTGTTGCTGGTGCCAAAATTGCTTTCGAGCGAAGAGCCAGCAGCAGAAAATCTTCCCCTTTTATGTAGTGTTTCTTTCTTGCTTTGCCTCACTGTGGTTATCCGATTCCAGCACAATGATATCTGGCTGTGTCTGCAGCTGTCGCGGAGCTCAGCTGGAGGTAGTATTCGTTTTTGGCAGCATCAGCAGAGATGGAGAGTTGGAGAGATGGGGCATAGCGCCTGCGCCACCCACTAGGAGACATGTCTATTTCTGCCACCCATTCAGGTCCTTTCCCAGGAGCCTGTCGGATCCATGCCCAGTACACATTTGTATTCGTGATGAGGTCCCCGGTGATAGCACATGTTAGTCTGATGGATTCTCCAGGTTTCACAAATGCTGGTCCAGATTCCTTGAGCTGAACTTCACAGTGGACATCTAAAGCAAAGAACAAGCATTTATTAATTAAAGGTTTTCTTCTATTACAGTCCATTATATGCATTTACCTGGAATACACTTACATAACAGATATGCTAAGAAGAAAAATAAGGCAAAGGGAAACGTCATGGTATGAAAGAGGAACTCAACTGTAAGAGCTAGTTTGGATCTGCCACTGATCTGACAATGTGCAGCAAGAGTGTAGTGGCTATTTAAATGGTGAACTACTTGGGCAAGAATTTTGCATGTAATTTCCGTCCAATTGTGGATAGAATTTAAATGAGAGGGAGTTTTGTGTCTTATGTGTCTGAGTCAAAGTCAAAGAAACCGTAAAAGGTCTGTGATTGGATTTCCCACATATTAGGGAAAGTCCTAATAAAATTGGAAATGTGGCACTTGAAGAAGTTTTGACTCACTCAGTCTGGAGGAAGCTGACAGGCTGCTCGTATCTGTGCGCCCAACCACATGCGATCTGGATCCGTACCCCTCCTGGCTTATTAAAGTGGGCCACGAGGGGTTTCGAGGTGCTCTGCAGGAGATTATCAACAAGTCCCTCATTGAGGGACAGTTCCCCAGAGCACTTAAAGATGCAATGGTCCGCCCTCTCTTGAAAAAGCCATCTCTGGATCCGGCCGAATTGGCCAACTATTGGCCGGTTTCCAATTTGCCCTATTTGGGCAAACTGATTGAGAGGGCGGTGGCGACACAGTTACAGGGCTACCTGGATGAGGCTTCATCCCTTGATCCCTTCCAGTCCGGCTTTCGCCCTGGCCACGGGATGGAGACGGTGCTGGTCGCCTTGACAGACGACCTCCGTAGGCATCTGGATCGAGGTGGTATGGCGGCACTGGTGTTGTTGCACCTGTCGGCTGCGTTCGATATGGTCAACCACCAGTTGCTGGCCCACTGCCTCACCGACGTGGGGATTCAGGGGCTTGCCCTTCAATGGTTTGTCTCTTTTCTCCAAGGTCGAGGACAGAGGGTAGCGATTGGGAACCAGCGATCCCGAAGGCATCCCCTTGAATGTGTGGTGCCCCAGGGAGCCGTGTTGTCCCTGATGTTGTTTAACATCTCCATGCATCCCCCCACCCAGATTGCCTGGAGGTGTGGGCTTGGGTGTCATCAATATGCTGATGACACCCAGCTCTATCTGATGCTGGGCGGCCAGTCGGACTCTGGTCCCGAGGACCTTCATCGGGTGTTGCAAGCTGTGGCTGGTTGGCTCAGGCTGAGTCGGTTGAAATTAAACCCGGAAAAGACGGAGGTCCTGGGCCTGAGTTGGACAGCCACTGCCAGGGCGGTCTTTTATCATCTGCGGCTGGCTCGGCAGTTGGTCTCCTACCTTGACCGTGAAGACCTGGCCACTGTGATCCACGTGACGGTCGCCTCTAGACTTGACTACTGTAATGCTCTCTACTTAGGGCGGCCTCTGTCGCAAATACGGAAGCTGCAGCTAGTGCAGAATGCTGCGGCCAGGTTGTTGTTGGGTCTCTCTAGGCGAGACCATATTTGGCCTGGGCTGCAAGCACTGCACTGGCTGCCAATAGCATACTGGATTCGCTTCAAAGTGCTGGTTCTTACCTTTAAAGCCCTGAATGGCCAGGGTCCGGCCTACCTAAAGGACCGCCTCTTCCCGTATGTTCCCTCAAGAGCACTCCGATCGTGGAACTGCCATCTCCTGAAAGTTCCAGGTCCCCGAGAGATTAAGTTTGCCCCTACTAGGGCCAGGGCATTTTCGGTGGCGGCTCCTACCTGGTGGAATGAGCTCCCAGAGGAGATCCGGGCCCTGCGGGACCTTATGCAGTTCCGCAGGGATGGAGCTCTTCCGCCAGGCATTCGAGTAGGAGCCGCCGCCACCATCGCCACTATCCTACCACCGAGGTAGTATGTCATTGGCTGCCCTACGAAAGTGGGGCAGGTATGCCCAGGCAGAAGTCATAGCAGGACGCTACTGAGATAGCCAGCCACCAAAGCTGGATGGTTATTCCCGTCTTGGTTGAATGATATAGCACCGTGTTATAGGATGGTTTTTGTGGTTTAAATATTGCATTTTATTGTATGTTTTATTGTATTTTAGAATCCGGCTTTGCCGCCTGTGAACCGCCCTGAGCCTTTGGGAGGGCGGTATAGAAATCCAACAAATAAATAAATTAAATAAATAAATAAAATAATGTTTAGCCCTTTCCCTTTGTTGTGTCCTAACGTAACCCTACTATGTATCCCATAGATGTGTGTATGTGTTTGTATATGTGTGTGTACAACCTGACCTGGATGGTCCAGACTACACTGATCTCATCAGGTCTTGGAAACTAAGCAGGGTTGGCCCTCAGTATTTGGATGGGAGACCATCAAAGAATTCCAGGTTTGATAGGAGAGACAGGTAATGGCAAACTGCCTCTGGACTTCTTTTGTCTTGAAAACCCTTCAGGGTTGTCATGAGTCAGTTGTGATATGAGACCTTAAAAAGGATATTATAGCTTTGGGCCCTCAGTATTTGGATGGGAGACCATCAAAGAATTCCAGGTTTGATAGGAGAGACAGGTAATGGCAAACTGCCTCTGGACTTCTTTTGTCTTGAAAACCCTTCAGGGTTGTCATGAGTCAGTTGTGATATGAGACCTTAAAAAGGATATTATAGCTTTGGGAAAAGTGCAGAAAAGGGCAACTCGAATGATAAAAGGAAAGAGCAGGTAGAGAAAGAGTTACTTTTCTCTCTTTCTCACAATACAAGAACTCGTGGGCACTCCATGAAATTGCTGAGTGGTCGGGTTAGAACGGATAAAAGGAAGTACTTCTTCACCCAAAGAGTGATTAACACTTGGAATTCACTGCCACAGGAATTGGTGGTGGCTACAAGCATGGACGGCTTCAAAAGGGAATTAGATAAGCATATGGAGCAGAGGTCCATCAGTGGCTATTAGCCACAAGGTATAGATAGGGACTCTGGGGCAAGTGATGCTCTGTCATCTTGGTGCTTGGGGGGGTCAACAGTGGGATGGCTTCTAATGTCATGGCCCCACTGGTGGACCTCCTGATGGCACTGGTATTTCTGCCACTGTGTGATACAGAGTGTTGGACTGGATGGGCCTTTGGCCTGATCCAACATTGGCATGTATGCAGTGCAAACAGATTGGACGTGAAGTGTTCTTTTCTTGACACAAAAACGCATGAGGCAGACAAGATCTAAGCATTTGGGGGTTGGCACTACTTTTTGAAGGGGACAGCAATCTAAGGAGGCCTGTATTGAGGTGCAAATCTATTACTGTATTATATATACCCACATGCAGGGCTATTTTTGGGCAGGAACGCACAGGAACGGAATTCCATCTGGCTTCCAAGTTGGCCATACCCAGCAGGAACGTATTAGCATAATAGGCCACACCCAAGAGCAGAAACTCATTAGGATTGGCTACATTAGGGGTGTGTGGCCTAACATGCAAAGGAGTTCCTGCTACAAAAAAGCCCTGGGTTTTGACAACAAACAAGGTAAACAGAATAAAGAAGGGAAAGGTGGGTGTGGCTGGATGAGCACACTTCTGGTAACGTGGGGGTGTGGCCTAATATGACAGTGAGTTGTGCTGTCAGGGGTGTGGCCTAATAGGCTAATAAGTTTCTGCTGCTGGGTGTGGCCTATTATGCTAATGAGTTCCTGCTGGGCTTTTTCCACAAAAAAGCCCTGCCCACATGATTCATTTATACTTCTTATTTCTTCCCAATGGGGACACAAAGTGGCTTCCATCATTTTCCTGTCCTCCATTTTATCCTCACAACAACTATGTGAGGTAGGATAGGGTAAGAGTGCACAACTAGCCCAAGAACACCCAGTGAGCTTTCACAGCAAACTGGGGGTTTAACTCTGGCTCTTCCTGATCCTAGTCCAGCATTCTAACCACTGCACCACACTGTCTCTCCACCGATACAGAAAGAAGGGATTTCTTTCATTACAGAAAGAAAGGATTTCTTCCACGATTCACCAGATGCATCTATGGGATGGGATGTGTGATAAGACACGCATCTGCACATTTGGATAAAACTTAACCTATGTTGTAATTTTTAAAAGTATACTTTCCTAAGAAAGTCCTGCAGAGGAGAAGTGATCATACCTTTTCAACATCAGAGAGAGAGGAAAGTGGCTGATTCTGGAGCACTTCTGGTGCTGTAAATGCTCGTGTTGTCTCCTTGAAGATGGTGAGACCCACTGTAGCTCCCATGAGATGCCGGATGTGGAACATGTAGTCAGTTGCTGACCACAGATGCACTTCATTTCCCCCCTCAGATTGGCAATTGGCAGGGAAGGAAGCAAATCTGGATTTAATGCTCTCAGGTCCCGTTCACACTTGCCGGGAATTGCGGTGTGTGTGTGGCTGCTTGTGGTGGCGCACTTTGACCTGCCCGGACGCAATCAGATGGGAATCAAGTTTCAGTTCGTCAGCGCGCATTTCCGGCAAACCTCAACAAAGTGAGAGGAGCTGCTGGGGCGATCAGATGGAGGATGTCCATCTGCGGCCCGTCGCAAGCGTTAGGTACTGCACTTTTGCCAGTAGCTTTTAACTGCGGATCTTCTGCCCGACACAACGGGCTGGC